AATCAGTTCATGTGGTGTCAGGTGGACACTGCTTTCCAGGCCTTTCAAGGGTTTGGGACTTTATTCTGAATAAGAAGGGATTAGGGAGCTTTGAGAATCCAGTTGACACGATATGACCCGGAATTGAGTGATGTCACTTAAGAGTTGAGTGACATGAGATGACTTTCATAGTAGTTCACCTGTGGTTTACTCAGCTAGATCATGAGCCCTCTGAGGATGAGAGTTAGACCATGCTTGTCTCTGTAGATGCTACAGTTTTTGCTGTGGACCAGGTCTCAACTGGCAAAATGTCTCTAGAGATAGTCTCAAAAATGTACACTTCAGAACTACAAAACACCTGTGTCGCCTTTGAGGCACTTCAGAAATGTCATCTACCCAGGCTAAATCAGTTCCCAATATGATCATCTCAAGGAACTGATATTTTCCATTTGGAGAATCTTACTTTTTTTTTCTGTGCCCTTTTCACTAACTATGAAAGTAGGTCCTTTTAGAAAGAAATCCACTTAGAATAGAAAGAAAATTATTGAATTGCTTCTCCTGACATTGTCCAAATGGCACTTGTGTCTATCTGTCACAAATGTACCTCTTCTAAAGTTTGAAGCAAATAAAAATGAAATACAGCCTCTTTGGGTTAGTTAAATTGTGACACAACTGGACAATGGTGATCTTATCATAGCTCATTTTTAAAGATGCCTCTAACTTGATTAATCTAATTTCCTTTTTATTTATTTGGACACAGACTTAGCAAATTAGATTTGCCAAATTAAAGAAGTTCTTCAAGAGAACTTCTACTTGAATTTCAAAGATAACAGGTGACCAAGAGCAAAAATGAAATGCAGATTATAAATTTGTGCAGGACATTCTAAAGCCTCCCATCACATCTGGAGACAGAAGACTAAATAAAATAGAGGTCTCTGGGATGGTAGACCAAGAAAAATCTACCTTTAAATGAATAGTACATTTCAATAGGATGAGTTCTAGTCTAATGCCTTTTACTTTTCTCATGTGTACATGAATCACCTAAGGATTTGTTCTAGTGCAGATTCTATTTCAATAGGTCTACTATGGGGATTGAGATCTGCTACTTCCAGCAGGTTCCCAGTTTACACACTGCTGGTCTTCTCACCCCATTCTGAGTGACTAGGTCCTAGAAGATAGCTTCTTAGTTGTATAGAGCCATTAGTTCACTCTGTGTTGTAATTTAATCTTTAGGAAATGTAGATTGCATAACCATTTGATACTGACGAACAAGGCATCGGGAAGAACAGAAAGAGAGTGAGCTAATAATCCAAAAGAGCCTGAAGTGGGCCAGCAGTAGCACCTTCATAGGTGCTATTCTGTAGACTTTCTAAACTGTACTTTGAGACTCATATTTGGATGATGGATTTGAGTACACACAAAATTCCATGTACACTACAGTGTGATTCCTGAAGGTGCAGGGAGATAAGTGGAGATAAGTGGTGACTCTTCCATTATCCATCATTGAAGGGTAGAATCTTGGTTTAAGGTTATAACACTTTAGCAGAATGTCTAGACATGTTGAATGGCTTTTCCAAGGTCTTATAGTATATTACATTTCCATAATTAAAATATATGCTCTTGGTTCTCTCCTCCTAACAATATCATGCTGCTTCTTAGGAGTGGATCATTAACCAAATCCAGAGAGACATAAATGTACATTTTGATGACTTGGGTATGGGAATTACAGTCTTCACAGACAGAGCAGCAGTGTGTGTGTGTGTGTGTGTGTGTGTGTGTGTGTGTGTAGGAGGATAGTAGATGTATGGATGTATATCTCGCAGGGCTTGAAAACACTGAATTCTACAATTTCCTGGGAATACTTAGGAAGCCTTGAGAAAATAAAAATTAAATGACATAGAATGAGGCAACTACTGTGAAAATAAAGGATATGATATTTGGCCATAGAAATAAACAGAGGCAGTGAATTTAAAAGGAATAAAATAATATAAAAATTCAAATACTTTGCTGTTGTTTGAGCAGAAAGGTTATAGATAGGTGAATGTTTAAAAATGACTTCATTTTTCTATGTATTCTCTCTCTCTCTCTCTCTCTCCCTCCCCCCCCTCCCTCTCTCTCTCCCTGCTGTCTGGTACAGAAGCAATTAAACTCAGATGCTTGATGATAAAGTCAGATGAGGATTTCAATTTTGGCTTCACATATTAACACTGTGACCCTGATACGTGACTTATAGTGTTTAAACCTCTCGTAGAGTATATAGAAAATGATGAGAGAATCTGTCTAAAATCCTGAGTGTACTTCTTCATCCCACATAGTTAGGATATGGAATCTGGGTCTGTGGAAGGATGACAGTGCCATTATTTGCAAAAGGTTATTAGGGTTGTGAAACTGTTCTTGAAACAGGTGGAGTGGCAAGAGCAACACCCTGAACATGATTTGCTGTGCACTGTGGTTTGTAGAGGATACATGAGGTCTGTGGTACTTGAGGGTTAGATTTCTAACTTGATGGCTACTGAGAGCCAGTGGGGTTCAGAGGTTATGGTCCAAAGTTACAGGGAAAAAGGTGTGATCAGTGCCAAAGGCAAACTACATCTACTTTGCCTTTGCCTTGAGTTGGCTTCCAGGATTTTGAATCTTAACTGTTGCATCAACAAGTTAAAAGGGTAGAAACAAAACCTAAGAAAGGAGGCAATATATGCAATTTAGTAATAAGGCAATCATGTGATGACCAAGTAAGCAAAGGAGAATGAGGAATACGCGAAGACTTCAGGTAGATAGAGTCTGGGGCACAGATTCTAAGTAAAAAGCATAGAGAAAATCTGGTAAAGGTAGAGGAAATAATTTAAAGTTACAGTCTAATAGTCAGACAATTATAAAAATCTAGGAAACTTATAGGAACTAAGGAGCAAAAAGCTGGCAGAAAAACAAATGTGGAAAATCAGTAACTGATTCTTGTACCAAATGTACTTGAATCTAACCAACCAAAAGAATTTTGTTTCAGATCTCACCCTGGATGGTGTTGATCACAGACAGATGATCTGAGTGGAAGGCTGCAGCTGGTGTAACTGAAGACATGCCTACTGACAGTACAAAGCCAGGCAGTCTTACTCTCCAGCAGCAAGATTCTGTCACTATATCAAATGATGGGGGTCAGCTTTCTTCTTTCTGTAGTCTGACATATAGCTTAGCCCCTAAAATTCCACTTTGGCTTTAGTATTTTGTAGGTCCTGAGTCTGGAGTTATATTGATTATCTGCATGGATTTCACAAAGGAGTATAGAGGAGAAGATGTATGAGTAGGAGCAGAAGAAAGGAAAAGTTAAGCAAAAAGTCAAAATGAAAAGAGAGGAAGTATCACAATTTAAGATCATGGCCAAGATATCAAGCATCTCCCTTATTATGTGTGGCTGTAGAAATCAGCAACTCCCTAGGCTTTGTTCTTGTCCTGCACTTACTGGAGGGGTATTCCCCCATATATAAATAATATTATTATATATTTATTGTTATTTTATTATGATATTTTATATATTATAGAATATAGATATTATATTTGACTGGTGTTTTCACACTTTACTGGATATTACTAACTCTTCTTTTTTTCCTCTTCAGAGAAATCAAAATTTCCTAAGTAGGAGAGATTTCTCAGTCTGGGGAAGACAGAGACTTTTCTTAATTTTCCCAGTTGGCATATACATAAAAGACAACTGAGAAAATATCAATTGAAGAAAGTATTGCAGAGCGACATTTATTCCAGACTCAAAATATGTCAGATGCTTTATAGAGTAGAGAGATAAGTCCCTGAAGATGGAATTTGTGAACATGAGAATTGACTGAGAAGAGCTAATTTACTATTTGCCAAAAGGCAGTGGAGTTGAGAAGAATGATTGTGGAAAATTGTTTAAAGAGAAAGAGTGTCACAACTTCGTATTAAATTCTTGTTTGGGAATTTTGGAGACTTATCAATCATTTTGTGGCATTGTACAATGTTACAAGATTTGGGAGTTTGTAAAATATCATTTTGAAATTTCCCCAAACTAGAAATCTTTCTCTGTTTTTGTCAAAATAACCTTGGGTACAAGTTTATGAATCTTGAGTGCTGATGTATTAGCTAAAAGTCTTTTGATTGCAAGTTACAGAAGTAAACTTTAGTTAGAGAAAAAGGGAAATCTAGCTTACAAGAAAAAGAAAGCCCTAGGGAACCTCAGGACAGGAAGTCAGCTGGGCCCAGGTCTTGGGGCTCAATTCTGGAAAGCCTCAAGCCTCTGCCTTTTGGGGCTCCTTCTCCAAGTGCTTTGCTCTGACCTTCTTGACCTGTGTAGACCTGCTTTTTAAATTGAATTACTTGCTGTTGATTTTACATTTCAGTCTCCCAAAGTAACTGTAGAGTAACTGAATGTCTGTATCTCATTTTGAGGAGAATCTACTTGCTGCTCACCCCAGTTCCATCATACATAATTTGGACTCAATGTCTTCAGTCTAGTTGCGTGAATGTGGGGCATGGGGACAGTTTTCACAGAAAGAAAATTGTCACAAGTTTGCTGGATGTGTGAAGGTCATCTCGCCCACCATGCCTAGAATGCTGCAGGGAAGCCTGGCAGCAAGTGTTTAACAAATGAAATATCATGAGCCAATGAACTGTCAAGGGCAGAAGAATTTGTTTAGCTATATGAATAAAGGTTTTTTTGCATTTTGACTGTCATGATAATAAATTTATTTATTTTGTAGTGCTGCGATCTAACTCAGGGTGCCCCACTTGATGATACATCTTTATAACTCAATGGCTGTCATCATAAAGCAACTAATTGATTATATTTAGTTAATAATTATTGTAATTAACTGTACACTGAAGTTGTATTAGTAAAAATCACTTTATTTTCAGTGTTTTTATACATTTGTAAAATCCTTGTAAAATTTAAAAATTATATTTTTGTAAGAACATTTGGATAAGCTTAGAATGCTCATATTTATTCAGTTTAATATTATTTGTTTCTTTATTTTTTAAAAAAATTACGATTTATGAAGACTAAGCCTGGAGTAATTCGCCCAGTACCTATAAAATCCAGAATATTACTGAAAAAAGAGGAAGAAGTCTATGAACCCAACCCTTTCAGTAAATATCTGGACGACAACAGTGGTCTCTTCTCTGAACAGGTGAGCAGATACTTGTTATTTTGATAAATGACACTATTAAGTGTGAACATCTCTATTAATATACTATATATAAGAAAATGTGTATTGATTAGGATATCTTTGGTAATAAAAAGGTCATGTTTGCATAAGAAATCAGAATTCTTATATAAATCCAGGATGATATTTTTAAGGATCTTAATTTTTTTCTGAAAAATGTCTACCTAAAATAGATATTGTTTGGGAACTAGGACATTAACCTCTATGATTAATCTTATTAAATCACACATGGCTCATATAGGTATCACATCTTCATTCCTTAAATCTTGCTTTCATTGGAAGACATGAAATGTTTTAGCTTTGGTGTATTAAAATTGACAAAAGTCCTGTTTTTAGAATGATATTAACAGTGGAGGCAGCACAGCTGCCTAGGTTGAGCAGTACCAATTATAGGCTGAGGTCTCAAGCCACTGGAAGGCTTTCTTGTTGTTTTCTGTGTGTATGAAAATGTACACTATGTTCCCCTTACAGATGCTGTATGTTGGAGGAAGAATGATAGAAAGGGGCTTTTAAGAGATCTTGAAAAATGTGACAATATGTATGCACTATATAACTTCATAAATGATATCAAAGTGAAATTTTACATCTTTGTTTTATTAAAATGCAATAAATGGGAATGGGTTATATGTTTTATATCTTAAGCATTATTAAGCCATGTAAGCTATGTAAGATATATATGATGCAAGATATCCAGATAAGTAATGTATGATATCCAGATACATTTCTGAATAAAATCAGGACATGCAAAATGCTCATATATCATAATCTGTAATAAAACAGATTTATGAAGGAAAATAAAGGAGGTGTGCTCTTTAAAATTTTAAAGTCGGGCCGGGGATTTAGTTCAGTGGTTTCGCCTCCTGCTGCGCAAGCTCAAGGACCTGAGTTCGATTCCCAGTACCAAAAAAAATAAAATAAAAAAAAATAAATAAAATTTTAAAATTATAACTAACAGTGTTGTTGAAATATGAATTATATTCATATTTGTGCAATTTAAGACTATTCTATCAGCCACATCTGACCCTGGGCATGTTGTTTCATCTCTCTAGGCATCAATTCCTTATGGTAAAAAATGAAGTGTTCAGATCAGAGATCATGTAAAGTGTAAAATTTGGGTTACCTTATGATCAACCTTGATGGATCTGAAATCTCTGGTGTTCTTTAAGAAGTTCATTATAAATATGTTCTCACAACTTACTGTGTATTTTATTTATGAAATGGATATGAAATGAAGTTGGTAAGTGATACCTCTAGTCCCAGGTTCTCAGGAACCTGAGACAGGGGGATCACATGAGATCATGATTTGAAGAAGAGCCTAGCCAACATAGCCACACCATGTCTCTAAATCAATCAATCAATCAATCAATAGAAATGGAGATGAAAATATTTCCCATTTTTATATATTTTGTGAGACTGCTATGATTTTTGATGTTTTTTTAAAGAATGCACTAATATCATTAAAAGGATAATTAGAGGCAATTGTGGAACAAAACCCAGTCCTCAAATTAAATTAGAGACACCTTACTGATATATAAATTATCTCCATCAATTGACAAATAACAGAAATGGAAATTCCTGTTAGCAAAGCATATTTCATCATCAATAAAACACTTAGGAAATATCTATTGCTTGTGTGGTACTGATATTTCAGAGACTTAATGTGAAGTTTTAGACAGTATGAGATCACTATAGAAAGCTTGTAAAAATAACCCAGTATATTTATTTGAAAAATAAACTGCCAAGAGTTAAAATAAATTTCATATATTATCCATGTAACTTATATTCCTTAAAATATGATCTAACTTATAATAGTTTTATTCCCTTGTATGCTTTTAAATTTGTGCAGTTTATTTCAAGCAAATATTCTTCTAAATATTGAGTTAATCTACCTTAATTTATCATCATTTATTCCCTTGTGGAATGATGAATTCCATTTTCTTTTTTTTTAAAAAAAAACAATTTATTGCATCATATTTGGTACCTTATGTTTGACAACAAAAAAGAAATTACATCTGGAACTGCAGGAAAAAGAAGCTGGTCTGTTATTGGGGAAAAAAAACCAAACCAAAAAACAAAAAATTTGGGCCCTTTAAAAATTACAAAGTCTTGGGCTTGCCTGAAATAACTGAGCAAGAAATATATTCTTAGAAATGTAGGGCTTCAAGTATTACAAACCTGTGACACTGTGGAAAAATTTCAGAGGTATCTAAACTGCAGCACTTTTTTTCTGCATATCGTGAACAAGGCCTGCTGAGGTTTTAAACTATTAGTCTCTTGATCAGTCATAGAATAGTAGTCAGGAGTTCTGCTCTTTAACTTCAAGCCATGGTAGATTTTCCTTTTTTTCACTCTTGGGTGAAAAATCATGCTTGCTAATTAGTTGGTGACACATCACAGTGCATTTGGTTCTTGCATTACAGTTTTAACAAGTTTGGCCAAAACAATGCTGAAAAGTTTGCATTATTATTTTAGTTATTCAAATTTTAGTTAAAATTGAGATTGCTCCAACTGGTTCCTTCAGTTAAAAACTGTGGTACAAGAACACTGAACTGATCATGTACAACACAACAAGCATACTGAACACCTTCTAGGTTTCTTATAATCCTGCTTGGTATCTATATGTCCCAGTTTCTACAACATCAAGCCATCTGTTGTAGGTTTCTCTGTAAATAGCGATTCACATTGCATACTTCCTATGGTCAGAATCAACCCTGTAACAAAATCAGTCAGATGCTAAAGCCCCAACAACTCTTTGTACTCAGTGAGAGAATCCAGTGCTAAAACAGCATGTATGCTGTCTGAGATAGAGTAAAATCTCACAAGACAAATTTAAGGTAATATTTTTGCCACACAGCTGCTTTGTTAGCTGTTACAGCCTCCAGATTGTATATAAATTAGTTTAAAAACATGGCTGGGTAGGTAGGAATAGGACAAGGTATCTTTTTTTAACCCCTCAATTTTAGCAGCTTTTTAATTTTTTAAGAAACTGAACCTATATCCTGCAATATTAGATATTTTATATATACTTTTTCAGCAGGATAAAAAATGTAAAACACTATTTGTAGGCAAGACCATTTACTCCTCTCATTCTGTGTAAGTTAGAGAAATGCAGCAGGTGCGTGACAAAAATATTATACACTAGATATGGTCCAAAGTCATTCCATTTGCTTGTTTAATGATGTTCAAATTTCATTGGCCAGTTCTTCAGTTTCTGCAGAACTATCTCCATTAACTGTGATCTTCATATCCTCTTCATATCCAGGAGGCATGAAAGCCAAAGCATAAGGGAAAATCTTATGACAATTTGCTCTATAAGCTTCAGCAGCTTCTCACAGTCTCCTAAGCTACCATCACACAAGGCTTCTAATACCTCCATACAAGTCTGGAGGTTTCTGTTAGTGAGAGACTCATCAAGTGTTGTTGCCAACTCTATAGCTCGTTTCTGACTAGAAGGATCTAAATAATATACCATTTTGGCAGCTGATAATCGATGTGGCAATGAATCAGAATTCCTTTTCAGAAAAGTTTCATTAAAATTCTTTGGATTCGTTGCTCCAAAAAGACGATTAATTTCTTGTTTTAATACTGTTCTAACTGTATCAGGTAAGTCTTTACTTTCACTCACTGCAGTACTAAAGAGTTGGATCATACACTCATAAAGCCAGGGATGACTAGAATCGATAGCAAATGCCCTCTTTACTGACTGTAGCATCAAAAGAAACTTTTCTTTCCTAAAGTAAATCTCAAAGGCAAAAAGATGAGTTTCTATCTTGTTCTTCACCAAGTTCTTCAATGGTGTTAAAAATTTAATAGCTTCTTCCAATGAAGTTTCAACCTTGGCCAGTTTCTCTGGGGTAAGTTCTTCTTTTGGACCTCCAATCTCATCATCGTCATCCTTCTTCTTTTTCTGATTTCTCTGCTGCTTTTCTTTTTCTGCATTTTTTTTCTCTTCTTCTATCTGGGCTTTCTTTTGAGCTCTTCTTTGTTTATTATGTAACTTCTTTAGCTCTTTGTCGGACATGTTTGCTGTATCAGCTTCATGTTCTTTATTCTCATCAGTAAGGGGATTGTCATGAAGCTTCAAATAGATCTCAATAGCAATTCTTGCTGCCTTGAAGTAAAATGGATGCTGTCGAAGTACATCTTCTAGTTTTAATAAGTCCACATATGATCTAAGGGTAATCTTCCTCATACAGTATGTATGAAAGTCAAACTGGTCATCAGTGATTTCTATAAAATGTCTCTCAATTTCATGACATTTCTTAAATGCTTCACCAAATTTATTCATTGCTTTATATGCCTGGGCACATTGTGTCTGGAACCACATGCACTGGATTTCATTCAAATTCTCTACTGCTGATGTTCCTTCCCTTGTAAACTTTGAGCACATTTCTTCAGCCTCTTTAATTAGACTGGCTTTTAGCATGTATTTTGCATACTTGGAGTTGATAAATCTGCTGTGCCCAAGGCCTGAGCTTCATCCATCCACCCTGCAGCTTCTTTAATATTCCCAGCATGCACTGGGTAAATGGCAGCTTTTTAGAGAAGTTTCATAACCTACTACTAATTCTTCTGTGATTGCCACCTTTTCTTTATCTTTGTATAAGGACTGCAAAGTATTGAAGACTGGTGGACAACCCTTGCTGAAATTCATCCTTAGGAACTTATCCAAACATTCTTTGAACTTCTCACCAGATAAAAAGTTTAATGGCAGCCTTCTTGGCACCAATCCCCTGGGATATTTGCTCCAGGCCTCCTCATATATTTTTAGCCGTTCGAACATATTAGCTGCTTTGATCTGTCCAGAGCTTCTGGATTTATCGCCTATCTTCCATTTCTCCATTGGCATTTAGTATTTTTTTTTTTTTTTTTGGTTTACTCTCATTGCAAATGATAAAAGCTTTCCTCAGTTTAGTCTTCCACTTCACTTATTTTTATTCTCCTCCGCTGTGGCCTCTCTTCTA